ATTAAGAGAGTGCTTATTTTCACTAGTGGAGTTTCCTCTTTCTCAGTATTTGTTATTCCAATCAAGTAATTAAGTGATTGTAGCACACTGAAGTATGCATATTTGGTTGTCTCAATCAATTAGATGATGCTTTTTCTTAAAACTGCACATAAAAGAATATCTCATACTCTCACTAATATTGTAGTTCTATCAGTATTTACCAATGCAATTATTCTCATTCTGTCTCTCTCCTACTAAACTATGAGCACTTTAAGGTATCCACTTTTCCATTATAAGGAAGGGTTCATACTAACTGAGTGTTAATTATATGCTAGATTCTAAGTGTTAGATCAGTTATTGAATTTAAACCTCACAAAACACCTAGAGATGAGTGCTATTAGTACTCATAGGGAGTACTAGAACATAATTATGTGAACATAATGATTTCCAAACATTTGGATATTTTCCAAATATTTTTCTATTAATTTCTAATTTAATTCTTATATGGTAAAGAATTTCACTCTATAATTTTCACCATTTTAACTTTAGTGAGATTTGTATTATGGCTTAAAATAGAGTCTTTCTTAATGATCTCAAAAATAATGTTTATTATACATTGTTGAGAATATTTTTTACTTTTGAGTCAAGTATCTATGCTTGTTTGTATGTCTAGCAATTTTTTGTATACATGTAATCATGCATAATATATTGTGAATAATCTTTACCACATTGTCTTTAAAGAATATTAAATTTAGATTTAATTAGGCAATTAATTACTGATGGAGCATATTGACATTTTAAACTATATTAAGCTTTGCTACAGAATTAAGAGTCAGTAAATTATGCTTATAGGAAAAATAAGGCTCACCAAATGTTTTTATGAATAAAGTTGTATCAGAACAACTTGTGCTTATTGCTTTACATGTTACCTATGGCTCTTTCCATTCTGTGATGACAGGGACAAGTAGTAGAAGCAGGACTGCATGGCCTGCCAACAAAAATTATTTAGTCTTTGTTTTTTTTACAGACAGCATTTACTGACTTTTACCACAGAGTAGATTTTCCATAAAGCAAAGATTTTTCAGAGTCTCAGTAGAATGTCCAGGGGATTTAGTGAAATCTCTCCAGTCTATTAACCAAAATTCCAATGTTTCCCAGTACTGTGACCCCTAAATCTACACTCAGCTCATTGTTGCTTAACAGCTCTTTTGTGCCAAGTCACCTTGATCTTATTCCACATGTAGAGTTTAATATTTGGTGGAAGACTTAAGGTGATTTTTAAGTAGGTTTTTCAAATTCTTTTCCTCCATATCTCTTTCCTTTCCAGTGTTCTGCCCCATGAATGAATTCCAGCTAGTAATGCTAATGCTCCAGGCTTAATTCCCCTTGAGCATACTTTAAAAGCTCAACCCAGAACAGAAAAGACTGTCATCAACACCTAAGGAAACAGTAATAGATGCCATTAATATACACCCTACACATTTTGGAGGCTCTAACTTCCAAATTCAGCCCATAGTGTGTACTTGTTTGATAACGCCCCAGAATGTAAATCTATCAGATCACTATATCTACACAGTCTCAACCACTACCATGGGAAAAAATGTAGATGCAGTATTAGATGTCCGGACTGACTTATTTTAAAATTTCATGTGTTTTGAGGGAAATAATAATTGAAAGGAACAGTTAACTGCATCAAGTAATAATATATTCAAGAATATACACTGAAGTATAGGAAAGGAGCACTTTATCCCTCTACACTTTGAAAGTTTTTACCTCCAAAGTTAAATTATTTCCTTCTGCTAATCTGCTCATGATTATTCTTCTCAACAGTTAACTAGTATAATATTCCTTTAATTTTGCCTTATTTTACTTTTTAAATGTTCCCCTAAGGACTACCACTGTGCAGTTAATTCATCAGGATCCTAGGAATGCAACTGGGGAAAATAGTTGTTTACTAAATAAATGCCATAAGACATCTTGTTAATTCTCTTTGCTTCCAAAATGATTCAAGGGCCAGGGATTTAGCTCCTTGGTTCAGGTGCTTGCTTTGCAGGTGCAAGGACCTGAGTTCTATCCCCGGTACCAGAAAAAATAAAACAAAGCAAAAAACACTTCCTGCCAAAATGATTCAGTGTTAACTCATAAGACCCAATAGGTATCTGGCTCCTAAATCAGTCAATTCCACATAGTATGTACATAGATCAAGAAAAAAAGCATCCTGAGGGTTTTTGTAATCTATGTCAACTATTTTCTACTCCTTATTTCTTAGAGAATATGTATGTATATTGACTTTAGTTGTTACCCATAGTGGAAACTAACTCCCAGACAGAACCCAGGGTCCAATTACAGTCTGTCAAAAGATTGAATATGATATAAACCCTTCAAAAATCTATTTATTTTGTAGCTGCTCACACACTCCCATCCTTCTTCCTGACATGACATTGAACACAGTTGTTTAAAAAAAGCTGTCTGGGTAGTTACCTGAAGTATTATTCACATGATCTTCATAAAAGCAAGGTCTGACCAGAGTAATTTTCAGTTTCTTTATGACTATTTTAATAAAATGGGTTTTATTACTCATTTCATAAAAAAGACATACAATGTTAAATGTACCCATTAAGGAATGAAGACCTTTATAAAAAAAAAGCTCAATTATTTTAAAATATTAGGTAACCATCATATTCAACAGAAATGCTAAACCAACTATTAGTGCAATCATTCTCTTTGATTGCTCCTACACATTTTGAATATCACTATGGAAACCTACGAAGCTGTCCTTGGTGAAATACAATGGGGATTTTAAAAATACATTTTAAAATCACCTGCAAACAATAGCCTCCAAATCAAAAGCTCTAGAAAGTTTTTCTGTCTTTTAGAAATTTAATCATAATTAATATCTTTCAGCCACCTTGCAAAGAGCAGTGAGTTACTTTTGAACTAAAATTTTTATTCTCTACCTTTCTTTAGATTGGAATAAATGTGAATAAGCATGTACTTTTCCCTGTTTGCCTTTCTGATCATTCTGAACCAGCACAGATATAACTACTACCAACCAACCTAGGGTTCTTTTCCTCTGTTCAGATAGAAATCATGAATCCACAAAGTGCAACTCTGCTAGTGGTCTTGATGTCATCAGATGACACTGGAAAATGCTGGATGCCAACAGTTGACACAGCCAGCTGCTGGCCACTGCTGCCACCAGATGCCATCATCTGGTGCTGGCTTGTGTTGGACACCACAGGTTTTACTGCTGGGTGCTGATTTCTGCTGTTGAATTCCATTGCCTGTTGGTCTCTGGAGTTTTCCAGTATTGACAGCCCCTAATATTTATTGCTTTCTTTCCAACTGACTGCTCCATCCACACTACTCAGGATAAGAATCCCACATTACCTGAGAAATAAATCGAGAGCAGGTTTAGAGGAATACCAAAGTGAGTCTTTAACAGGGTCTGTGCTCAGCACAGGGAGGTCAGTACACTGAAGTGAGCTCTTCTAGACTAACACTAAAAGTGTATGTTGGCTACATAGCAGCTGCACGCCTGACACTAGTCCAAGTGCAGGCTTGTGACTGGTGCAGAGGTCCAAGAGTGCCTCCTCTGTTATGACCACATTCCAGTGAGGGGCCAGGGCTGAAACCAGGCAATCCTTAGGAAGGCCTCCTGAGGGGATCGGGAACGTCAACAATGGACCAAGATCCCTCTCTCTCTGAACTTTGCCATGCCAGGTTCCCCATCCCCTTCTTTAAAAAGGCAACAGTAGCATTTGAAGTGGCAGGAGATGGGTAAGGGCACCATACTGACAGTCAAGCTGTCTTCATGTTAGAGTGAGATGAAGGAAAACAGTCACTAGATAGCTAGGGAGGACACACAGGTAAGCTGTCCTAGTCCGCCAACTAGGGGAGCAGAGGAAGTTGTGGGAGGCAAGCTATGCCCCGCTTCAGGCCATAGGAAGAAAGATGCTTGTCATCTGTCACAGAATGAGAGCACACTGGGGTAAAAGAGAAGGCTCATCTTAGTTGAAATTATTCCAAACTTGTCTGAAATAGCAAACAATGCAAATCTCAGGAGAAAATGGTTATGTTTATTGAAGAAACTGAGTTTAGGAGAACACTTTGTGTCAATTTATTCTCTTATTTAAATAACTGAACGAGATCTGTTTGAGAGAAATGAGGGGGTCTATAGTTTCATCTAGCACTTGAAGTAGTTGAATGCAGCCTCCTTGCTTGCCAGAGGGCAAGAAATTGTATTCCAAATGCCATTCTGTTTGAACATCTAGTTGAGGATATGGGATGTGGAAGAAATAGGAACTCAAAGTATGCATAATATTTACCAACGCTGAACAAAGGAGTATATGAACGTTAATAAACAGGGGGAGGGAGGGGAAAGAAAAGGGACATAAAAGATTAAGATGTGTTATGCACATGTACCAGCTCCCCAACATATTATTGTTATATACTGCAAATATATGCTAATACAAATTGAAAAAAAAAACAAATAATACACATCTATTCTTAGTAAAAATTCACTAACAAGGCCTACACTCCATTTAGCACCTAACAAAGATTTTAGGCTTCTAAACAGGTCGAAATGAAAGTACATATTGCATTCTTGGTTTATGATGATCTAACCCAGTGGTCTTTAACCTTGGCTGCAATTGAATAATATAATGAGTTTTAATCCCCACCTCCTGAAAATTGGACTTAGGTGGCCTAAGGTATGACTCAAGTGTCTTTTTGAGGAATTCACTTCCAAATCTTCTCTTTGAAAAGTTTTTAGACTAAAGAATCTACTTCTATAGCTTCAAAGGTCAAGAAAATGTCTTGTCCATCCCCTAGCCAAGGTGTGCTTTCCTATTGCATCACTTCCTCTGAGTACACAGGTATCCACCATTCTATTGAGTTGAATTGTGATGTTTCATGCCAAAGTGAGTTGAAATGCCTTAGTGTGATTGCTTTTAGGGGTCAGCTGTTAGAATTCAAAGGCAGAGTCATTTTATTACAGGCAGTCACAGTACTCCTCCAGTCCTAATCTCTGACACCCAAGACTTTGACATGAGGCTGAAGTCATCAGCCCAGACAAGACACTTGCTTGGGAAAAGTTTTCAATTAGGAGTAATCATGCCTCAAATGAACATCATTGGCTACAATACTGCTGCTGAGCAAAGCTTGACAAGATGCTTCCTTGGGATGAATTTCTGCTCAGAGTTCCTTCTGACCTTGACTATCAACTCCTTCTATTATGACACACTAGTTCATTGACCATTCTGAACCTCCAGCAAAAGATTTTAAGGTTTGTACTACAAAGTCTGTTGGCCCCCAAATAAAGCCATGGGGAATATACCTAATTTTTTTTCACCACCAATAGATCCTAGTGCCTTATGAAATCTAAAAAGTATTCTAATATTCTCTTATCCTTAGGATATTTGCCTTATTTTTTCTTAAATTAAAAGGATCATTTGTTTACTAGCACTAAGCAAATAAAATCTCTGAAAAAGTGATTTAACTTCTACATCTCTCAAAATAAAGACTATTAGCAGCTTTTAAATGACAATTCTCTCATAGCAACATCAAAACCATTCTTAAAAACACAAAAGTTGGAACACTCTCTGCTGAGCTTTGGCATTCATATACTCAGTTGATCAACTACTGTATTAGTTATTTTCACATCACCGAGATGAAATATCAGACTAGCAACTTAAAAGAGAGGAAAGGTTTATTTTGGCTCAAGAATTTAGAGGATTCAGTCAATGATTAGCTGGCTGTCAAGGGAGAAGTGGCAGGCTAGAAGGATGTGGTGAAGGGCAGTTGTTCAGTACATGGCAGGGAGGGGCAGGGAGGAAGGGGGAAAGGAGAGGGAAGAAAAGGGAAGAAAGAAGGGGAGGGGAGGGGACAGGACAGGACAGGGACTAGGGACAAGAATACACCCTTTTAGGACATGCCTTCAGTGACCCACATTTTCTGACCAGGTTCTACTGCCTAATAGCATTCAGCTAGGAAATCATTAAGGGATTAATCTACTCATGAGGATTGAGCCTCCATAATCACGTCTCCTTCAAGAAGCCTCACCTCTGAACACGAGACTCTTGGGGGACATGTTAGATCTAAACCGTAACAACTAGTCACACTTCTTCTATGCAGAGTCATTCTATTTTCAAGGTAAAGTGTTCTTTCTTCTGTTTTAATTTGGAGAGAAAATCTACTGTTGATATATGCTGTAATTATCAAAAAAAGAGAGAAGATATTTTGGAGAAAGTTATGGTCACGTCGTAGAATTTTATGGCAGCAATAATAAATAGATTTGAGCATAGACTTTTATTTCTCCATTTCACTTTGTAATGATTTTATGTAAACATAGTGAAGTTGGTAAGTGGGTTAAAACCACTTTTGCTTCTATCATACCGTTGAATTTTATTAATTTTAATTAACTGACTAAGGTTTTAAAAAAGTACAAAATTAGCAACCACATTTGCTATGACTGGAGTGACTATTATGTGAATTAAAAAATACCTAAGGGACATAATCTTTCTATTTTAAAGTTCTAAAAAACCTGGGAAGCAAAAGCAAACTAACACTTGGTGCTTAAAAGCATCAATAACCTAAAACCGATATGCAACTATCTTCTAAATAGCAAAAAAGCTTTCTGAAACATAATTTTTTAAAAAATCAGCATATTGTCCTCTCAGCTTACTATCCAGTGGTGGGGTTCTCTGCACAGACCTGGAGGATTTTCACTCACTGTCTCATCCAGTGTCCTTTTACTTGACCTTCTGGTACCAAAGACTGAAAACCTAAAATCACATTTTTAAGGAACTCTTACAGCTAGGGTTCTGAATATGATATAGGTATGGAAGATAAGATAAACCCCTTTGGCAGGCAGAAATGAGGTAGAAATTATATTTTACTAATTCTGCTTCTGCTTTGTTCTTCAGTGCTGTTTGGTTTTTGTGGCAGCCTTAGTGTGATGTGAGATCCTGTGTGGTTCACGGGGGCTGAGTGGCAGGACATGAGGCATCCATTTTTTTTTCTGGCATGAAGGGCAGTGGGCCCTGCATGGTTGGGAGCTGGCCACAGAGATAACAGTTTCCTGACTACAGCACATTTCTCATCATAGCCTCACACCATTGTGGCAGGGTCCTTACCTTTAGTCCTGGTGCAGGTGCTCCCTAGTTTAGCAGAGTCACAAAGACAGTGTCCAAAAAACGCGTGAGAGTGTGTTTCTTTAGCCTTCTTTGTGATTCTAAAACCACTTAATACTTTGTAAAAAAGTCATTTTCTACCCAAAACACTGTTTTTGTTATTGAACATCCACAGGAATACTGTATATGAATGTCTAGCAATTATAAAATCCATTGTCAATATTATATTGTATTCAAACTGGCTAGTGTGATTATATTCATTGCAACTGAACACTGATGAACATATTCACTCTATATTAATATGTGGCTCATACAGAGCTTTTTAAAAATTATCATTGAATGGCTTTTTGATAGAACAAACTAGGTTCATTTTTAAAGCTTATCTATTCCCATATTTCTATAGAACCAATGTAGCACAATGCAGAACACATAAGTATTAATACACATTTAAAAAGTCAGTTAGTTTACTGTGATAATTTTCCCAAATATTTTCATTGTTTTCATGCAGTGAAACAGCCGGACTTCAAGGACCTATTATCCGCTATGATAAATATCTACTCAAGCTATTTGAAAATACTCAGCAAAGTATTTAAAGACTCTTAAAACCAAAACCAAAATTTACTCAGTTCTCTGTCTCTTCCTTGTCTTGATCTTTATTTTCCTATTCTCTATTTTTTTTCATATTAACTTTTCATAGTGGATCAGAATATTCAGCTTTTCTAGTCTCCAAAGGCCAATGTTATCTGACGGTCACAGGTCATGACTGTCTGGCCTCTAGTAACAAAGACTACGCTTATTATGATTATTTGTTGGTCTGCTTCTAGATGTGTCTGTTTTTAGGTGTTTAGTGTATTTAAGTTTGTACTAAACAGTACAAGAAATGCCTAGCAAACTACAACATCCTGGTATTCTGTCTCATCTTAGTGGTAATGTGGCCTGTGTCGTCAGATAAAAATAGCTATTAATCAGTTGACAGAGCAGATGCTAATAATTCTTGCCATCTTGTAAAGCAGTGGTAAAAGTCTGGGTCTTCTTTATCTTCATTGCAACTTGTTAATTTCACATTTTTCATTCAAAACTTACAATATTCTAATCCTAGTACCAGTACTATGCTAGCCAGGACGCTTCTTGGATAACACAGCAGAATTCAATTCATACTGATTTAAAGAGAAAGGAAGCACAGTCATATGTAACAGGGCCTGTGGGTCTTCAGACACAGCTGCATCCAGATATTCAAACCATGCTTTCAGGTTGGGAGTTTAGTGTGATTCAGGTCAGTCCTTTCTGTGTGACGGAATTGACATCCACCGGCATCCCTAGCCTCCTCTCCTACCAACAGAAAGAAATTGTAGTTCTCAATTTTTTAGGAAACATCCTAAGGATTCAATTGCTCTAGTTTATGTTAGTTTTCATTAGAGAACTAATTATAATGACCAGGAAAAAGATAATTTCATTGCAGGTCTGGCTATATCCAGGCCCTATTGCTTTGGACACAGTGTAAGATTGGCCCCAATTAAATATTCTAGAGCAGATTTTCTTAAGAAAGAAGAGGTCTGATCACAGAATCAGTGTGAGGTGATGTTTTTCTTAGCAAAAACCTGTTCATTATATAAGAACTATTATTTGTATATATGAAATCTGAATTATTAAGTTATTCTAAAAGGTTAATTTATTGTTATGTTGCTCCATACTATATTCTATATAATTTTATATAGAATCATGTTCTGTATTTTATTATTTGCAACTGAAATAATCAAAATTGATAAAAATTATATTTTAAATGTCTGATGTCTGGTTCAAGATGATAAAATTATATTATTTATGTGCAAAATATCACCCTTTTATTTATGAAATATTTATTTCATCCAAAGCATTATTTAGTAAGATATACATTTAAATAAAGACCATCTAAAGTACATCTTAGTTTTATGTTGCTTAAAATAACTGTATCGTCTGCCAAAAGACCATTATTTATTTCTGCATGTGTTATTAGAATACAAATTTTGTTAAAGCAATTTTTAAAAATTCTGAACAATTACATTCAATTTGAGGGACAAAAAATGGTTTTACCTAGTAAAGAGTTATTTGTTATTATTTCAAAGCACATTCTTAGACACTCTTAGAATGGTAAGGATGCTGCTCAATGCCAGTGTGGTCTCAGTCTCCTTCTGTCCTATTTGTACCAGGAGATGTTCTAGTCCAGTGGCATATGTGAGCAGGGGGCTGCTTGTTATCATTGAAAGCTCTAAAGGGTTCGCCATCGCTGTTGCAGACCCTCAACCAGTAGCATTTTCTTACATTTCGTTACTCTGTCAATATTGGAAATGAAATGTGTAGGTTTTTTATCTTAGAAATTGCAGCTCCTTAAAATATAGAAATTCTCTTATTAATGAAAAAGTAGAAAATGGATATTCATTCCTCAACTGGTAGCTTTCTGCCATAGTGTTTTAAACTTTGATCCATCTTGCACTCAAGCATTTAACCTACCACAGCTACCTACTAAACACTGGTGAAAACCAGTCAGCTGCAGACTTGTGTGATTTGACAATTTCCACGTGAATTGCAAATGTTGTCATCATTGACTCTAGAGTTTTTTCCTAAAATTATTTGCTCAAGCTGCACGTATACTAAAGTTAGAAAAAGTCGGGTGTGGTGACGCATGCCTGTAATCCCAGCACTTGGGAAGCTGAGGCAAGAGGATCGCTGTGGGTTCGAGACCAGCCTGGGATACATAGTGAGTTCCAGGTCAGTTTTAACTACATAGTGAGAACCTGTTTCAAAAAAACCAAATAAATAAATAAATAAATAAATAAATAAATAAATAAAATTAGAAAAATACAAAGATGCTTAGATTTGCATGGGCCCTGCTCAAGGATGACATATAAACTCACAAAGTACCCATATTTTTTCACCAGAAAAAAAAATTGAGGAGATAGATATGTTTAATCTGATTTTAAAAAGTATACAATGAGTACATGTATTGAAACATCACGCAGTATCCCATTAATAATAATATAATGATAATGTGTAA